TTTTTTTTTTTTTTGCTGTTTTCGTTGGGACTCCTCTTTTTTTTTTTTTTTTTTTTAAAACTCTATTTTTGCTGATGTGTTTTGTATTGCTGTAGAAAACGATCTTAGGTATAGTGCCACTGACTGAGACAACCATCCACCTATACTCATAATCTGTGGTAATGTTAAACCCGCCTTCATTGCACCTGTTGTTTCACCAATTCGCAGACTGTGTTCTGAGTATCTTCCATCTAGCTTAGCGTGATGCGCCATTCTTTTTACAGCTGCATTTACGGTTCTTGTTGACATACGTTTTTCAGATGCATTTAAGAATAATAATTTTTGACTTTTAACCTTTCTCTTTTCTTTTAGGTATTCGTTGACCAGCCTCACAGGGCAATATGGTGAGTTTGTCAGGTCTACCAGGATGAATTTTCCTTTGGCAAATTGATCGGTTTTGGATTTGTTTATTCTGACCCAAAAGAGCCCTTATCCATTTTTATATCTGTTATACAAAGATTACACAGTTCAGCAGGTCTTCGCATAGTACAGATACTCAGTGCAATCATAGCACAGTCTCATTTCCATATCAACTTGGTGGCATTTTGAGGCAGATTTTCCACATAATTATGCAGGGCTTCTACTGGAAAGGGGTCCTGTAGCCATACTGCTTTTTTATCGATTGCTATGCATTTCATTTGGTTGTGAACTAATCGCTAGACATTAAAGTTTAGGGTTGGGTCTGGGACCTCTAGTCTACGGTGGTAATGGCTAATAGCTACCAAATATAGGCGTGGTTTAACAGGCTTTGGTAGCAGGCTAAGCTAGATTAAAAACATTAATAAAGAGTCAGGGTGGGCTGGGCATGGCCTTAACTCGTAACTTAAGCAAAAGATTACAAATTCCTCCCACAAACTCATAAGTTGTTTTTATATGATGATTCAGGTGCTATCGTTTTTGTGCTCTTTCAAGTAAAGCTTCTAGGAACAGACTCTTACTGCCTGGAATCTTCAATATGGGTTCTTCCATAGTTTTGGTGGTATGTTGCTTCATGGGTTTGACAAAAAACAGTTGACTGCAGGTGGCAGGTCCATTACTTCAGTTTGTCTTTGCAGAAGGGTTGGCTAGCACGTGGCTGATGGCCATACTGGTATAATCATTGTTATTACTGTTTGGGCTTGGGCTATATATTCGAACATTCTTTGGATTAAACTTAACGGGGGCACATGTAGTTGTTTTTGTGTTTCCAAACCTGGGTGAAACAGTCTGTTGCATCTGCTTCAGGGCAGAAAAATCAGCTGTTGAAATACGCTACCTTTCTTGTTCAGTAGCTGGCCATCTGGTTTATCGTAAAGGATCCCCACCTCACACTTATTTGTGTATATACGTCCTGAGTCACTTCCCAATCAGAGTCATCAAAGAATCATGTTAGTTCGTCTGCCGGGTTTAATTTTGATGGTACCCATTGAAACTCGTGGATTTGCACATTATATTTGTCACAAAAATTCCAGATCTGGTGCATTATTTCCTTTTGCCATAGCCTTTTTCCCCCGATTCTATTGTTTTCTGAGCCACACAGTTGTCAATATATATGGTGACCCAATAGTGTGTGATTATATGAGCAAACAACTCGAGGCCTAGTAGCGTTGCTATTGATTTGAGATGGGTAATATCCGTGTGCTGGTGGTGATGGTCCCAATTTCCAAATGCCTGCATTTTGCCTGTAGTGCAGACCAACCTGTTGTCGAAGCATCCACATATACCAGGATTATTCATGAAGGTTTCCATGCAGGGCATCTATTTTTTGTCCTTATATTTTCTTGTATTCATTTTATATTTGCAATGGCTTGGCATGTTAGTTGTACTAGTTTGTCCTATTTCCAAGGTCTTCAGTTTTCTGCATCGATTATCGTGTAAAATTCCATATAACGAGTTTTTGCATATATGAAGGCTTGATTCAAGCTTATTATTTGGCCTACTACAGAAGATAGACATCATGCTGTTAGGGGATTTATTGATAAAAGGCTGTGAAGGTTTGTTAAAGTAGTGTTTATCTTGGGTTCTGGTGCGGTAATCAGCCTGTTACAGTGTTCAAAACCAATCTATAATACTTCGGTTGTTGGGTTGGTTCTGGTTGTTCTTTCTCGGCCAATATAAAACCGCAATTTTTTAGATCTTAAAATATTATCAAGTTCCTTATCTGGATCAATGTTTCTCGACATGGGTGGGAAACCCATATATCGTTGAGGTGGTTTCTACAAAAAATTCCTAATACCCTCCAGTGATCGATTAGTGGTCTCATTATTTTCATAAAAGTCCATACTGCCAAGCTTAGGCCGAATGGTAGAACTCAGTAATAATACCAATTTCTTTCCACTTTGAACCCTAATAATCTCTGAGCTTTTCTGTCTATCATTACGTGGTGATAGCCCTCTTTTAGGTCCAACACCACCACCCACCAATCTCTTCCCATTATTCTTAAAAACGCTTCAAACTCTTCAAATCTGAATACTTTTTTTGGGAGTGTTCTGTTTAGACATCTGAGGTTGATAATCAGCTGCTATTTCTTTGGGCCAGGCTTGGGGGTCAGAAAAATCAGGCTTATTTGAGCAATTGTGGTGGTCTGTTTGGTGAATTTGAGACGTAAATTATCGCTCCTATCATTAGTAATCTCTTTATTTTTGAGTCTAACCAAATTGTTTGGTTTTTTGTTAATATATAAGGGGATGGGTCTGGTTGTAATGTCAAATTTAATAACCCTTTTGGATACAACAGAATGCCATTTTTTAACCAGCTCAGGACTAATTTCGGTGCTTAAATTTTTTGTTCCTAGTAATTTACATGTGTTAAAAAATGTAGCCGCCCACCACTAGTATTTCTTGTTGAATCCGAGTGTAGTCAGTCATGTTTGTTATCATCAAGGAATCTAGGATATTTATTTCAGTAGATTGCATAATCTCGAGAACGGTAACTGAAGTTTCTTTCTTGTCGTTAATTAGTATTTTTGTAGGGGTCCGAGAGACATGTATTTGCAAAGTTCCCTGAGCTCCTGCAGGTGTAGCATTTATTTGACTAGTATAAAACTTCATAGCGGGGTTGGTAACTTGCATGAAAAAACTGTCCTTGGTCGTAGGTAAGGTTTTGGCAGTTATTTTGGTATCTAGTTGAAAAGTTATTTGAGTAATGGTTTTGGTAGTTAAATTTGTCATGTGGGTTATCAACGCCTTCTATTGGGCCTATTGTTTTTCTTCGCTTATTTTTCTTTGTATCTGCAATAGCCTTTGCTTTTTCTATTATTGATTCTTTGCCTTTTAGCAATTTATCCGGTATATTTGGTAATGCATCAACGACGTCCTATCCAAATCCTTTCGCTACGCGTAATGTAAACATCCTGTCAGCAGTTAATTCTCGTGCACTTATAATGTGGTTTGTAATTTCTGTTACTGCTTTAGATTCCATCGCTAAGTCCAATTCTTTCCCAATAGAACATAGCATATTATACTCAAACTGATCTCATGATCTTTCGAATTTATGATCTGGCCATGTTTTATTATTGTTAGTCTTTTGTACTTAAGCTGTTACTGAATTTAGTTTATTATCAAATTCAGCCATAACGCTCCTTAAGTTTCTGAGTTCTGATACCATCAGACCTTCCAGAGAGTTTGGGTAATCATAGTCAACATCTTTGGGTGATTGCTGTTTGTTCTTTCCTTTTGAGTACTTAGTCTTTCAGTCGTTTGTTTCTTGTATAGAATTTGGTTTCGTGGTACTTTGCTAAGCCGCTGAGAGTTCTGCTACGTTATTATATCTGGTTCTTAAGGCACGTTCTCTTAATGTTTGGATCAGGGTACCTTCTTCGCCAATTTCTAGATCATTTATATAATTTTCTTCTCCAGTC